AAGCTGATGCTGGGGCTGGACAGCCCGGTGGGCAGGTCTGCTGGGCAGGGCCCGCTGCCGCCGAGCAGCTCTTCTGCCAACGGAGACAGTGATTCAGGGCTGAGTCTCAATGTCTTGCACAAACTCGGAGTAACTTCATACAGCTGGAGTAAGCGCACCTTCTATCTGCGGGCGAGTCCTAGGGGGTTATTGTGGGCAAACTTTCTTTAATTGCTGGAAAACCCCACTTCTGATCTTTTAGCAGATAAAACTGCACTGAACAACCACCCAAACTGTTTTTTCCTCCGCAGTATTTGCCACTTCTGATGCATTCAAGGAGTTAAGAGGCTCATCCCCCTCTTCGCTCTAGTGGCTGTGGGGCAGCTGCGCTGATGGGCTCCAACAGCTTCCAGCCAGCCCTCCTGGGAGCTGGAAGCCTAAGTGTGTATGGTGCCTGTGGAACAACTCTACGTTCTTATGTGTGAACTAGGTGTGGTCCCCAACATCTGGCACAGTGACACACGAGCAGGGCATCGCAGCCCGGGGGTCTGCATGAAACTCTTCTCGGGAATTAGCCCTGGAGCTTGCCTTGCCGTTGGTGTCCCCGTGTCCCTGGAAGCTCTGAGCCAGCGGCTTGTGACAGATCCCTTGGACCACAGCCCCGGGTCCTTGTCCCTTTAGTTAGTCCCTAGCATGTGGCATTTTCTAAGAGGCATCTGGTAAGAAATGGGTCGGTGGCCGGCATTCTTCTGCAGCATGCCTGGAGACGGCGGGTGGGGAGTGAAGCAGTGCTATGAGTACACAAAGTGCTGATAGCTCTGGCAGCAATGACATGGGACTGCTGCTTTTCGGAGAGGTGTGACACAAGGTGGGATGGGAGCTGAGGTGTCACTGAAATAGCGTTCCTGGTCTGGTTTGATCCAGTGCACCAAACAGACACCAAGAATCTAGTTATTTTAGTTTATTCAGGTCTAGACAAACCAAAATATGTACACAACTGGAACACAGCTACAAAGCTAAACCAGCCTTTCCTTTAGCAGTCAGTTAGGTCATGTTTCAAAACAATGACTAAGTGCTCTATTTTAACAGATTACTTGTACAAGTCCAAAATACACAAATGCAACACATTGGTACCTGATATGATGACAAAGCTTCATTTTTCTGAAATTGGGGTTTTCTGCCAGTGGTGATTCTCTAGCTAGTTTTTGAACAGTCAACTGCATAATGTCTTGAGTTTTAATACGGCTTGCACATTTCCAACGGCTCTTTTATTTAGAAGCAGGAATCTTATCAGCTCTCACATGGATTTTATTTAGAACTGTATGTTGGCAAAGCATGAGATGTACACATATGGGAGTCATTCCCTTACTGGGGTGAAGGTCCTGTGGCGGTCTAAGGGAGCTTTGCAAAGCTAGGGAGTGAGAAAACACCTCAAAAGAGAATTTTATTGGGCCGTTTCTTTGTTGTCATGCTACGGTAATGAACTGTTGGCTCCAGACAACTGGGACTGTCACTGCTTCAAACCATCCTGTTTTCAAACCCTGCAGAATGTCTGGTGTCTGCTCCGTTCCACGGTAAACATCTTGTTTAAAGGTTACGCTTCTGGATTGTGTGTGTTGTGTTCAGTTAGGATGTATCAGTACTAGATAAAACGTGATCCATAAAATTAGTCACAATAAAACCTCATCTTTACTACCCTGCTATGAGTGATAGCATACATATATTTTAGGAGAATGGGATCAAACAGAAATGTTTTCTGTTATCATTCAAGGCAGCATTAATGTTTGTGAGAAATTAGGCTAACACTAATCTACAGTCATGCCAGCATTCCCAGGAGCCCTCGCATACTATGCATATGTATGCTCTGCCTTTTCCACATACGGTGTGGGTTTAGCCAGATACCTGGCATCCTGGCTGTCTCCAGGGGTGCCGCCAGGCTTGTACAGGCTTTGAGTTGTGCTAACCCGCACGTGGAGCCAGGTTAGCTGCTGATGGCCTTGGACTCAGCGTGAGGACAAACCTTCCCACAGCTGGACCAGCTGCAGCAGCTGTCTGGCTGCGCTTGTTACTGGGAGTTTTGACCGGGGTGTTCCAACGGAGGCCATACCACAACTGCTGCTCTAGGGCCAAAGGTGGGCTAGGGCACCTTGTGTCCTCTCCTCCTGACTGCTGGCCACGTGGTAGAAATTTTGTGTGTGGAAATCTGATGACTCTAGTGTGGGTTTAATGCCTCTTGGTTTTCCTTAAACCAAAGCTTTTGATTACAAATTATCTTCCTCTGTATAACAAGTGGAAAGCTGTTAATGGTGTCCCTCTTTCTAATTTCCTTTGCATCCTGGAATTCCTTTATATCTACAGTATTTTAAAAAGAAAAAAAAGGAAAGAAAGAGAACAGACTTTACTGCTCATCTGTCAATCTGTCCAGAGTTCATGGAGATAGCAGGGAAATTTGTGTTAATCAAGTCCCAAAGCGTGGGGCGCTTTTCATATTGCTCTGTAGCTCTGCAGCTCCCACAGAGTACTGGAGAACGCTGAGCCTCCTGGGCGCTGCTGGTGCCCAGGCAGGGTTTCATGCATCTCGGTGGGCTTTGTACTGCTGCCTGATCACCACAAAAGCTGGGCAGATGTACAAACCTGCAGCCTCTGACTCTGGCACGCTCACCGGTTTGTTGTTAAGCTAGCTTATGCTTCACTGAATGGTCTGGTCTGTTCTAACGACCAGGGGTCAAGAAATTACCCCACCTTCCCTGTGGCTTTCTCTCTCCATTACTTTAGTCGAGCAAAGCGATGGGC